GCTAGCTCGCACTCCTAGCCTTCGTTGGTACTAATAAGTTACGTCCAAAGCGCTGCATTCCTAGCCTTAAGCGCGAAACACATGTACGACGAAACCGTCCGATCCGACGTCCGACCGCGCAATACGACGGTCGAAGGCGAGGGTTTTCAACGCTCTCCGATGCTACGAAAACCCTCTCCCCCCAAGGTCATTCCGGCAGTCCGCACGTCGGATCGGAAGGTTTCGTCGTACATGTGTTTCCCGCTTTAGGCAAGAGAGATCGGGGGGTTACGGGGTTTCAGTGCTCCGCCCGCCGGATGTACCTGCCCACCAGTGTTGCGGAATTGCGACTCCGGAGTTGGAATGATTCCGGAATCATTCCGCATTTTCGCGACCCCGGAATGGAATGGGGAATGGAATGGCGGTAACGATGAGGTGGATGGAATGGGAATGGAATTAGATGTCATTTGCCCGGAATGGAATGGAAATGGAATGGGCCCGGTTCTTTCTTTATCTTTTTTTTAGGGAAGAGGGGGGGGGGGGGCTACGTTCAGCTAAATGGAGCCACTCAGGGAGTCAGTTGCTCAGAAAAAAAAAAATGCGCGGGAAACTGCTAGCAATACAAAAAACACGCATCAGAGCAAAGACGAAAGGGGGGAGGGGGTGCGTCCGTGAAAGGCGTCGTCTGTGCGCCTTTCACGGACGCACAGACGACGGGCTTTACGGGTGTTACACGAGAGCGAAACGAGAAACCAAGCGCCAAGCAAAAGAAACGAAGGAAGCGGCAAAGAGACATGCCGCCATGCACGGCTCTTCCTTCCTTTGAAGTGTGAAATCTGGGTTTGCTTCGGCATTAAAACAAAAAGAGATTCACTTTTCACTTCTCCTCTCGCGCTTTGCTCCAACGCTTGTTTCTTTTTTATATATATATACTGCAATTTTACGTGTAAGTCCGCCTTTTACTTGGTCTTTGTTCCGATGCCTATTTTCTTTGTTATATGTTTTACATTCAAGTGGGTTGAGGTTACAAACAAGCTAGCGGATTGCCGCTCATTTCCTTTGACTTGAGTTTCTGCATACCTTGTTTCACCTTGCGATGGACCGCTGCGGACGCTTTGAGTCACCCCAGGCAGTGCAGCACAGTGAGCTTAGTAAGATCAGTGCTTTTTTGAGGCATTTAGCATTTTTTTTTTGCAATTGTCTATGCTTTTGACAATGTCAGCTTTATGCTGCTTATGCCGGAAACATTGCACAATGTAGCTGTCAAATGCCAATTTTTACGTTTAGGAATTAAGGCCCGTTCACACTCTTGCAACCGAGTACGACCGAGAGAGACCAAACCGGTTTTTAAGCCTCTTGCGATCTCTTAGGACCAGCTCCGCTCAGCGCATCCGGTCCCAAGAAGTCTTTCTCGGTCGTACTCGGTTGCAAGAGTGTGAACGAGACTTTAGAGGAATGGAATGGGACGATTCAGCCATTCCAGGAGTGGGAATGGGCCCAGTGTCCTCAATCCTAGGAGTTGAAAGGAATTGAATTATCGAAAACTCTAATTCCCGGAATGGAATTGGAATGGAATGGGGGGTGCCCATTCCGCAACACTACTGCCCACAGGCGTTCTTTGTAGTATCCATGCCGTAGACATGCCAGGCATGTCTTGCTACCGGCTTGAGACTCTCACGCGCTGTGTTGCTCAACTGCAGGATGCTTCAGTTGGCATCGTTCAAGCGCTTGCCGTGTTTGACGGGAGCCCTACACAACTGCATCCCCAGTACTTGGTGCTCATTGAAAAGCTTCAGCTGGTGAGGAATGTTTCCTTCATGGACACCCAGCTCGGGATTTCCTTTGCAGCAGTACGGGAGGGGACACGAACAGCAAACCCAAGTAGCACCCCAATATTGGTCCAATGACGGTCCTATATCGACTCACGCTGGCACCAATATTGGGCAATATTGGCAAACGCTACAAGGCGTTATATTGGGCCAGCTAGCCTGCCAATATTGGACCACTACGTTTGCCAATTTTCAGCCAATATTGGACCAATCTATTTCCACATTTTCAGCCAATATTGGACCATTCTGTTTGCCCATTTTCAGCCAATATTGGACCACTCTGTCTGCCTATTTCCAGCCAATATTGGACCATTCTGTTTGCCCATTTTCAGCCAATATTGGACCACTCTGTTTGCCCATTTTCAGCCACTATTGGACCACTCTATTTGCCCATTTTCCAGCCAATATTGAACCATTCTGTTTGCCCATTTTCAGCCAATATTGGACCACTCCGCTTGCCCATTTTCAGCCAATATTTGGCATAACGGCACTGCCCTTTTAGCCTAGATAGGTTTTGCCAACCACCTTAAAATTGGCTGCCAATCTCTGTCGGAACGGCAGCCAAATGTCCGAAGGCCTTTTTCGCCAAGCTACTACAAATATTGGGCGTGCCTTTCTCCTGGCACCATGGTTGAGCAGTTTACCACACTTGCACTGGTAACCCTTTGCCGCCAGGCTCTTCCCAATATTTGGCAATATAATGTACAACTGCAACAACAGATAATAGTTTTATCTCTCTTGTATTGATAACACTGAAGATTTTCTTTGCAACATGCAGGCTAAAAATATATAATTTTACCATCAGAAAATATTGCGTGCATTTTAGTTTGCCATGCAAATGAACAAAATAATTTCTTTGCTAATAATTTATTTTGAAAACAACTTTCTGTGCTATTTTTTTTGCACTTCACACATCGCCAGTTGGCAGTTGAATGGCCCCTGTTTGGCGGCAAAACCTCTGGCGCCTGCCCCCCTCCCGGTCCACAGCACCGGCCAGGTACCTGCCAATGGCCTTTTCGACATCTGGCACATTGGCAGCCTTCGCACTCTTGATGGTCTCTGAAAGTGGAAATTTTAAACGTTCTGCATTAAACATCAAGGCATAACGGTTGCCGCTGATACTTAGAATAGTCTTAGGATCAGGAAATTGGATCCAACCAGGGTTAAATCTCTATCCAGAGCAGTAGTAATTAAAATACAGATGTCAGGTCAAGAGCTAGGTACAGAGAAGCAACATGCTCCTCTCTTTTACTGGTTACTATACTAATGACCACACTTCTATTCTAAGAAGAGGTTCCCATCAGCACTGCACAGCTATACTCTGTCTCAGTAGTTGTGTGCAGTGTGGAGCTGCAAGGTGCGACGAGGTGGAGGAGTACCCAATGCGGTTACAAGTTCCGGTACGGCTCAGATTGCACAGAGTCAAATGTCGATGATACAATAACGATTGACCGGAATTTCAGGGTCACGTGAATTTAAAGATGGTCCGGGCAATATTGAATATATTGCCATTCAGGATGATACAAACAGTACTCAAGTCGTCCCGGGTGATATGAGCACGTGAACCATCGGTGCATGCGAAACGAGTGGGTGGGCGCAGCTGGTCTTAGAGGGGAAGAGAGTACGCACAGTTGCCGCTGTCCCCCTCTCCACCTCCAGTCTATGCTGGCCAAGCGGCAGCATGCCTGGCTCACAGCCCAATGAGCCAAGGTTAACTCACATGCCCAACAAAGCTGTGTCGTCGATGGTAGAAACACTTAACGCTCTTGATGTTCCATGCTGCACCATAAGTGCAAGCAATATGAGCCGAGAAAGCGCTGCGCAGCTTTATGCATTTTGGATGGGGCTTATGAGCAACTACAAGGGCAGAAGAGTGCAAACAAACATCACAGACAAAGTATACACACAAGTTAGCTTGTCTTGGATTAAACAAATTCAGGATTATATGAATATTTTTTCGTGTTCCCGGGTAATCCCTATCATCGAGATTATGCTGTATTTATAGAGTATGAACTATTCAGGCATATGGAATGACTCGGCAGACTGTAAAGAATAACTTAATTGCCTGTAATGGCTTCTACAGAGACCAGACAATGCAGGCGAAGACTGATACGCTGTGCAAGAACACATGTACACTGGTGCATTTATGTTCTTGATTGGCTGACAAGGGCTACAGTTGCACTACACTGCATGCAACTTGTGAGATAGAGTATATGCTGCATTCAGGCATAGCTAGAATTTTCAGGCACTATAATAGGCCTTTTGAACTAAATATGTTACGCTATAACAGATTAGAAGCATTGTTTAAAACGAACTTACTTTAGAAAAAGGCTGTGTGTATTATTGTAAATGTAAAATATAACACTCAAGACTAAAAACAAGACTAAAAATCTTTTTCATACAATGAACCTTCTTCCAAATACTAGCCAATGTGAATATTCTCTAGCACCATATGGTACATAATTAAGGTATAATAAATTTAACACACTGAGATTACCCTCCATACCTCACCTGACTGAGATTACCCTCCATACCTCACCTGACTGAGATCACTACTGCCTGTAACCTACGTGATGGTAGCCTATAGACTGTTCCTCATAATTTAACTAACCACTGCACACAAATGTTAAAGCATCATCTCCCATCATCACCAAACCAATTATTCTGACAAAATGTACAAATAGAACCTGTGACCACCCTTCGATGAGACAAATCATGTTTCAAGCTCTGTAAACTAATCCCCAAATAGTTTATAGTGTTTACTAACATTTATTGGTGCAATTCTTTTTCTCTTATATTTTTCTTTGTATCACATTTGTCACCTTGCTGCTTGCTGAGTGAACAAGTGTGCAAACCTTGTCAAGCCAACAACTGCTGGGTTTTTGTCTGCCTCCCAGTGCCTGTACTATATGCTACATCACAGGCACAAATAAAGGATTTGATTTGAAAGTGACATGCTATAACAGTCAAGCAGTTGCATGCACTTCAGCAAACTCGAATAACAAGGATCTATCAATGTGTTGATCAATTAAGCAAATATAATCATACCTGTCACAATGCGGCAGAGGAGCGTCCCCCGGAAAGGTAGCTTGCCTTTCCGGCCCAGGAGGCTAAATTTTATTTGGACCTCCTTCTTGAGGGCCCTTTCCAGAAGGCTTCGGCAGGCCTCGGCAACCGTGTCAGTTGCCCTGACCCATGTAGCCACCTCCAGCTGCTGTGAAAAACAAGGGACAACGGAAATGTAGAAGCATGACCAAATACCAAATCAAACACAGAAACACGGCTATGACGACACAACCAGTTTTCATTTTTCTTCATACTGAAAAGCTATCATTTATTAACATTGAGTAAAGCAAATGCAGTGTCCACCCGTTTAGTGGCCGAGTATGATAGTTGACATTATGAGCCAGCGACAAGCACTGCAGTGGATGTTGGAAAAATCATCATATGAAAGGAGGAAAGTGCAACATACCAGGGCTGTGGCTGTAGCTTTATCCTTCAGGGCATTTTCCAATTCCCTGAATTCTTCCATAGTCGCCGCGGGCAGCTTTGGAAGGGGCGCCCGCGACGGCTCTGGAGCCATTTCCGGCGAAGGCGGTGCAGCAGACATTGAGGCCTTCATTTGCGATAAATTAAAACTTAAGTTTCTAATGTCCTGCTGCATCGCCCCCAACTGCCGCAAAATCTCCCCATTCTGTAGCCGAAGCTCAAGCACCAGCTTAACTATTGGAGACTGCTCTGGACCTGAAATGGAAGATTAATTAGGGTGAGTAATGTATTATCAAGCTCTGGCCCTGGGTCCTATGGAGAAGTAAGCTGTGCAGCAATAGCGGACACCAGTCTTTCCCTTCTTTAAAAGCAAAAGATTAAAATGGCTTGACTGATAAAAGAAATCATCAGGAGCCGTGAACCTAAAAAGATATATGTTTATGACTGCACTCGCTAAGAGACAAGCACTGTTATGTGTGTGCTAAATTTGAGGCTGCCTACAGATGGTAGTTTTGGAGTACACAACTCACACACCGTGGTTGCACACACTTTGCCCATTGTATAAATGGTGTGAAAAAATTCATAAATAAAATATATATTTTGCAGTGTGCATAGCAGCAGCCTGCAAATACAAAAAAACAAACAATTATATTTAACCTTGATCTTTATTATCTCATATTTGAACCATAAAAGAAAGCACATGGCTGTATGAAAAAGGGCTGCATTAAGCCCTGTCATAAACCAGCCAGGTTGTATCAGCTGTGCATCAATCATGTCAATGCAACAATTGGTAGACAAAAAATTACATCAGTTTTCCACCAATGCAAGGAATATGTTGAGAAGTCCCCAGAGTGAAGGAGATAGCATTGGGTAGAGCTGGTCTCATAAGCTGATCAGCAACCTTGTTGCACCATAACTAACATAGGAGGTGCAATCATAGTCAGCCAAGTTATTTCAGCTATTTTGACAGTACAACTCAACGGCTGCTATACTAGGAAATACTATACAAATTAGCTGTAAAGAAAAAGGTAGCTGTGTCACTGCCAGTGGGAAACACATTACAGCAATTACCTCTTATTCATGCACTATTCAGCTGAAGCATTAAAAAAAGATAAATGATGGTTACGCTATAAGGTCCAAAGCTGACAAGCTAATTACTAGCTAGTAATTCCCACATTTGGCTCCTAGTAGAATCATGCTGAATAAAAGATATGAATGTTCCAACATTCTTAAACTCCTAAGCTTAATTTGGGAACCATATCCCAGCACTGCAGCCGACAGGTTCAAAATGCCAGCCCGGCACACTTAAACTAGGACAGCCAGTGCAAACAAGTCTACTATAACAGTGGTTAAACAGGCCGGCAGGCCCTTGCTTTCGCAAGTTAGATTACAGGTTTCTGAGTATAAAATACCCGGAGAAAAGCTGGAGTGCCCACCACCTTGTGGCCAGTTGTTACTCACCAAATATTCAGACCTTGAGCATAAATACTTCACACTTTCATTTTGCCACTATCAAGGTGGCTGACGTCAAGGGATATATATATATATATATATATATATATATAAAAAAACCACATGTCAAAGCTCCTTCGGTTAGGCCGGTGTTAGGAAATAAAACATTAAAAAGGCTAACACTAGGACCACTGACTGGTGTTGTGCTTGGTTGCATTCAGTAAAAATTGGAGGACTTACAATTTGAGGCCCCCAACGTCATCCCATCTCCTGCCGGGAGTTCCTCAATGGAACCTAAAGGCGCGTCCAGGGCACCGTCCAGTCTGGTCAGGCTTTGCCCAGATGATGTCGATGAGGCTGAACCACAATGTAACGACAAAAATTATTTCGGCCCAGAACAGTTGGCTAACATAGTAGACACATGGTGCAAATTTTGTTAGCCTCTCTCTGACAATTAAAATTAGAAGCAAAGGGAGCATGTTGGTGAAAGGCGCTGCGGTTCGTAGAAAGAATAACACACAGAAGGACAAGACACAAACACTCGCATACACAGGGACAGGACACAAACACAGACACACAAACAGACACAGATAAAATCAGAAAGATTGTATGCGTGCCTGTGTTCATGTCCTGTCCCTGTGTATGTAAGTGTTTGTGTTTGTGTCTCGTCCTTCTGTGTGTTATTCTTTCTACGAACTGGAGTGCAATTAAAATTAGTTTTGAAGTCTCTCTCCCGTCCTGTGTGACCAAACAATCTGATAACTTGCAGTCATGAGCAAAGCAGTTCCACACTTTGAAGTAATATCAGGAAAAAAGGAATTTGCCAACCAAATGTGCGAAAGATCTGGAAAAAGATTGTCCCAACATTTCGAAACTATTTGTTTCTTCTTCAGGGGATGAATAAAGGATGTCAGTCTCTTCATCTTTTAGGTGTCACATCACTTTTCTTTGTCGGTGTTGTTGGGTTAGCTTCGTCGTGCCCTATCCGTTATCCCATTGTGGAGGCCATTCACATATAACGTAGGAAGCGTCCCTAGTGACCTATTGATGATGTTTGAAGTGTGTTGAATATGCCATGATTCAATGAGCCGCCTCCTACGTAGATTTGGTGCCGTGTCCAGGATGCTTGCGTTCTCAAATGCAATACGGTAGTCGAGGTTATCACAGTGTTCAGCGAAAGCACTGCGCTCTTTGTCAAAGTTTCTCACATCGTTCTTATGTTGTCGAAGCTGGTCGTGAAAGTTCTTTGTTTCGCCGATGTAAGAGGCAGGGCACAAGGTGTTGGTTCTGTTAAAAAGAGTAGAAACGACAGATACCTTATGGCCGACAGGGTGATTGGAGTCCTCCAACCATTACCTCCAGTTCGACTCCACCCACCGTCGGCCATAAGGTATCTGTCGTTTCTACTCTTTTTAACAGAACCAACACGTTCTGCTCATCTGAGGACGACAAAAGAAAGGAGGAACGGATTATCATGGACGACCTAAGGAAGAACGGCTCCCCCGGTAACTTCATTCACCACGTCATCCGTCGTCAGAACCGTAATCGGATGAAACAACCTTCGACAGTTTCCAAACCGATAGCACGGATTAGCATCCCTTACATGAAAGGGATAAGCGAGATGCTATCCTGACTGTTTGCAAAAGAACACGTCCTGGTTGCTCTCAAACCAGTGTCGGCTGTCGGATGCTTTCTACCTCGCCCTAAGAACAGACCACCGAAGGCGAAGGCCCAAGTAAGGTGTCATTTATAAGATCCCATGCTCCCAGTGCCCTGCCTCTTACATCGGCGAAGCAAAGAACTTTCACGACCAGCTTTGCCAACATAAGAACGATGTGAGAAACTTTGACAAAGAGCGCAGTGCTTTCGCTGAACACTGTGATAACCTCGACCACCGTATTGCATTTGAGAACGCAAGCATCCTGGACACGGCACCAAATCTACGTAGGAGGCGGCTCATTGAATCATGGCATATTCAACACACTTCAAACATCATCAATAGGTCACTAGGGACACTTCCTACGTTATATGTGAACGGCCTCCACAATGGGATAACGGATAGGGCACGACGAAGCTAACCCAACAACACCGACAAAGACAAAGTGATGTAACACCTAAAAGATGAAGAGACTGACATCCTTTATTCATCCCCTGAAGAAGAAACAAATAGTTTCAAAATGTTGGGACTATCTTTTTCCAGATCTTTTCCACATTTGGTTGGCAAATTCCTTTTTTCCTGATTTTCTACCCAACCAGACAGAATTCTGTCAAATATGTTCACCTTTGGAGTAATATGCTTACTGTTTTCTTCATTCTACCACTGCAACAGACTTCTTCCAGGCTGACTTTTCAGCTCTTCTACTCCAAGTACAATGCAAGCTGGCAACAATTTTACTTAAAGTTGTTGCCACTTAAAGATCGGGGAAAAGAGGAGGGGGATATTTTGGCAAGTTGCTAGTAACCCCCAGACCAGAGGCTCTCACAATTTGTCATCTCACAAGCCCTAGCAACCAGCAACAAAGTTTGTTGCTAGGGTTTGCGAACTCCCCTGTCTCCGTGAACCATAATGCTGACCACCGGGCATTATACCAGTAAGAATAGAAGAGTTTAAAAACCAACCTGCGTGAGCTCTATTGCAATGATAGCAGAACTGAAAAAGTACAGATATTAGAATGAGCTGCGAAATTGGTCTTTCTCAATCTTAAAACGTTAGGGTGAGAGGGTGATCGATGTGGGTGCTGATGGAACCAAAGAATGATCTGCTCGACCAAGGAGTTTCGAAGTAATCACTTTGAGAGCTGCTGCCCAGCCCGAAGATCTCTCAACTGAAACATTGCGACTTTTATCATTTGCTGATTTGGACTTCAATGCAACCAAGCAATAAGCAAAGTATGACTTCTACAAGAATACGAAAATGTGGCTTACCTTGCTCCGAGGAGCTGGTCCCAGTGAGATCACTCGCTAAAAAGGAAAAGTTTACAATTGGTCACCCTCCTCCAGTTTTGATTAGATCATTCTAGTAAATATGTATTTACTGGAGTAAGGCTAAAAGCAGTCGGTGTACATTCTAAATTGGAACAAACTGCTTAGAAGAGAAGAAAGCACATGTGAAGGCAACTACAGTGGAACACTCTGGACACATTGAAGAGGAAAACGTGAAATAAAACGGTACTGTCAAGGAAGACATGTAACCTGACTTAAAACGCAAAGGCATTAAAGATGCCAGACCCCATGGTCACGAGCATATGAGCTCGTCCACCATTTACGTGGTAGAGCCATATCATGTCGATATGGCTCTACCACAAATGCTCCCTGATTTCCACTCACAGCTGCCCAAAGCACGCTGCTGGTTTTAAAACATGTGGCGCCGCGATGGAACCACCAACAGCGAGCACATTTGTATTACCGGGATAAACAGAAACGCAAACAACAGAATATGACCTCTCGCACTTGGGAGTTCATGCTGCTTATGTCAGGTGACACAACTTGTATTAAAAACTACCAGTTCCACTGGTCACATCGCAATTCATCCAGGTACTAGTCTGCTGTCGTGTAGGTTCAAGGGTGAACCAAACAGTCATTGTTTTCTGATTGCGTAATACCACAATACACAGATATAGAAGGACCAAAAGGGGATAAGTGCCACGCAAATAATGAGGAGTAGAGTACTCTGTTGGCCCAGTTGGTTATACATGTTTAACCCTTTCAGTACGGAAGACGAGCTGAGCTCGTCCACCATTTACGCACAAATAATCCTGAAGACGAGTACAGCTCGTCCAGAGTCCGCATTATCAATACAACGATCCTGAGGACGAATTCAGCTCGTCTGTATCACGGAGCTTCTTAGAACGACCGACAGATGGCAGGAGAAGTCAAAACCTGTGAAATTTGCTGAATTTAGACGTTTTTTCGTGAGGCTGCTGGCTACTGAACTTTAAAAATGCGTCGTCCGGGCGGCCGCACGATGTGTGTCCACGCGTTGCGAAACAAGGAAAAAAAAGGAAACAGCGCGCAGTTTCTGAAACTTCTTCGAGTGAAAGCGACTACGAATTGGAAAGTGATTCTGGTGAGTCGTTGATTGATTATTTGACTTCAGATGAGAGCGACACAGAGATTGATGATGATTTCGACACCGCACGTGTGTGGACGAAGATCGACGTGGGCGATATTCCTCGTGCGCCACCTCGTTTCCCTTTTGTGGGATCACCGGGATTCAAGGGCCACCTGGAAGAAGGTGACGGCGTTGTCGAATATTTTGAACAGTTCTTCGATGAAGAGCTGGTCGACCTGATTGTCGCAGAGACCAACCGCTACGCAACCCAGTTTCTTCGGTCGCACCACGCTTCCCACCTCAAAACATGGAGACAGATCGACAAAAAAGAACTGATGACCTTCTTCGCGCTCATCATTCTGCAAGGGGTCATTGAGAAACCAGACGTGAAATCTTACTGGTCAACAAGAGAGGTTCTCCGCACGCCTGCATTCGGAGACGTGATGAGCCGCGACCGCTTCATGCTGATAATGAAATTTCTACACCTCACTGACAACGAGGCGCCAGTCGACGGGCACCCGAACCCGAAGCTTAGAAAACTGTGGCCCGTGCTCACCAGAATGACCGAGATGTTTCAAACTCTCTACACACCAGAGCGAGATGTGTCAGTTGACGAGAGCCTTCTTCGTTTCAAAGGCAGGCTGTCTTGGAAACAGTACATGCCACTGAAACGTGCCCGTTTTGGTGTCAAGTTTTTCGTACTGTGCGAGTCCTCCAGTGGTTACATCTGGAACATGCTTATGTACACTGGGAAAGGTGCTGTTGTTGGTGACGCAGATATGGCCATGGGTACACGTGTGGTATTGTCCCTGATGAGTCCCCTTCTCGATAAGGGCTACTGTGTAACCGTGGATAACTATTACAACTCACCCGAACTAGTTGAAGCACTTCTGGAGCGCAAGACAGATGTCTACGGAACAGCACGATCTGGACGCAAGGGAATGCCGAGCTTCGATACAAGACAACTTGAGAAAGGTCAAACTGAAGCTTACCAAAAAAGCAAGTGCCTCTCACTTCAGTGGAAGGACAAGAAGGTGGTAACCTTCCTCAGCACGGTGCACTCTGTGGCAATGGTGGATGTAACAAACCAGAGAGGTGAAGTTGCGTCCAAGCCACAGATAGTGATGAATTAAAACAACACCATGGGTGGTGTTGACAAGAGTGACCAAAATCTTTCATATTACCCCTGTGCAAGAAATGGACAGAAAATATACTACAAAAAGGTGTTCCGTCATCTGCTAGACATGGCCATCTACAATGCGTTCATTATCTACCAGAAGAGTGGCAACACCACCACACATCTTGAGTTCAGGCTCAAGTTAGTGGAGGGACTCAGTCAACTGAACTGTGACCCCCAGAGTCGACCCAAGAAAGGGAGGCTCTCTGACAACACTCTCTCGCGACTGACTGAGCGACACTTCCCAGACTACCTACCTCCAACTGAGAGGAAAGAGAGCCCAACAAGAAGATGCGTGTCTGCACAAGACAAAAAAAGCTCGCAAGGAAACAAGGACGTGGTGCCCAGACTGTGGTGTCGCCCTGTGTGCGATACAGTGTTTTCGCACATATCACACAAAGGCAAACTTTTGAACGGGATGTCCTGGGACTGACTAAGCCCGTAGTCTCGTGAACAGAGACACTAGGTGCTGATGTTGACAGAATTGCTTTGTAAATTCATGAATAAAATAAAGTGAGTATGTGCAGTGAAGCCCACTTTTTCCACATTACGTGCAGTGAAGCCCCCTTTTTAACATTTATAAAAATATTGTTTGTCCATTTATGCTGCTTTTGATAAAATTTTTTATATGATTGTGCTCTACGGACTAGGCTGAACAGGTTGCATGAATAAAATAATTCAGGATTTTGAGGATGTTACATGAAAAATTATTACGGTACTGAAAGGGTTAAGATGGAAAACCGAAAAAAAGACGGGACACAATTGAAAGGAGCGAGCAACACAACACAGGCGCAGACTTACAACTGAATTTTTAATCTTTCACTTCCTTTAACGAAGGAATGCAATGTACATGTGGGCCGCTGAGATGCGCTATCACTGGCTCGAATGGGCACGCGGGCAGAAAACCTAAGGACGGTGGTGAACGCGAGCGGGATAGCGAGGAAACTGAGGACGATGGCGAGCGCGAGCGAGAGAAGTGCGATGGAACTGGGAAGTAAACAAAAAACTTAATTCTCTGTCTAATAATGAAATAGATGGTGCGCTAACACACTTGTCACTTCCACTGTAGGAAATCTGGGCCGCCTCAGAAATTTCCCTAGTGAGTTTGTCTTTGTTGCGACCTTTTATCTCAGTGGCACCAAAATTTGGTTTACACCCACATTCTTTACAGTGTAGGGCAAGGTGCGCTCCGCTTGCTGAATTCAAAAAGGCTCCGTGTTCCCTCAGTCTATCATTTAGACATCTACCCGTCTGTTCGATATATACTTTCCCGCAAGATAACGGGATGTGGTAAACACTCCCGTTGAGCAAGGTACGAACTGGTTGTAATGCTTGGTGTTGCAACCATCCTTGTGAGCGATCCGCTCTGAGGTTAAGGCGCATACCCGGGAGAGCTTACACGGGGCTGAAAAAACCACATCTACTTGGAACTTAGTAGCGACTCTTTTTAAATTGTGAGAAACCCCGTGTATATATTGGCATGACCTCCAATTTTTTTGGTCCCTCCAAGTGACCCATTGTTTCCTTAGCCCGCATACGCAAGGCCTTCAACATAGACTCTGCTACCGCCCTTATGATGGAAGGTGGAAATCCTGCTCTCAACAAACGTTGGGCCTGTGAATCAAAGCTACTCTGAACTGTGTGAGCACAAGATTTCTCAAGTGATGATCTCAGGCATGTCCTCACTATGCCTCTCTTAACTATTTTGGAATGGCTTGAATCAAAAGGCAGGAGGGCTTTTTTTGAGCGGGGTGCGTACTCCCAGCAGAGGTGGTCTAGCTGGAATGACAATGTTATGTCAAGGAATTGCAAAGATTCCCGCAGTGGAAGCTCGGTTGTAAATGTTAAGGTTGTGGAGGTGGCACGAAGTTTCTAAAATCCCGTTGGTGGCATCTTCAAGAAGAACGCCAGGAGTTAACTTTTAATTAACAGGACTAAAAAGTCATCCACATATCTGAAGACTCGGACCCGTTTGTCGTCAGCGAGTGCTTGCACTAACAAACGGTCAAAAGCAGCCAAAAAGATTTCGCATAACACTGGTGCCACACTCGAACCTATGCAGATGCCTTGCCTCTGAACTACAAACTTTACTTCGAAGCCCACAATGGTGGATGTTAGATAAATGGACAAAAGTTCTAAGAATCCATCTACTGACACACCACAGGCATTCTGGAACTGAACCGTTCCGGAGGTTTCGATGCAGTTCCTCACCGCGACAAAGGGTTCATCATGGGGTATCAAATAAAACAGCTCCTCAATATCTACGGCGAATCCACCATTCACACCACACAGGCCTTCTTGTAGGGCTTCGACGAGTCGCTCGCTCGCCATCGTCCTCAGTTTCCTCGCTATCCCTATCCCGCTTGCGCTTGCCACCGTCCTTAGGTTTTCTGCCCTCAGCGTGCCCATTCGAGCCAGTGATAGCGCATCTCAGCGGCCCACGTGCACATTGCATTCCTTCGTTAAAGGAAGTGAAAGATTAAAAATTCAGTTGTAAGTCTGCACCTGTGTTGTGTTGCTCGTTCCTTTCTTGTGTCCCGTCTTTTTTGCGCAGTTTTCGATCTTAAACAAATAATGAGGACCGGCATAAGCACAGCAAATATGCAACAAGAAAAATACATACCTGTATGTTTGAGTGCCAACACTGTAAACAAAAGAATCAAAGAAGGCTACCTCATTTTGATACGAGACAATGGAATAGCCACTAGCACATGCAGTATCTTTACTTTTTATATAATGTGCTTCCAAAAGTTTGTGTCATGGTACCTTTGCTTGTGCCAAAGATTCTGAGCTTGTGTAGGAGCGGCTCACAAGCACAAGTGAGAAAGTAAAAAGATATGTGCGTGCTTCCCTTATTTGTAATAGACAGGTTAGGTTTCCTCGCACATTGACACAATGGCATCTCTAAAAATTAAAAAAATCTAAGGGCACTTCAAGAGGTTGAATTAACACTGAACATAAGAGACAGATGCCCGAAGCTGTGCCGTGCTTTCACGAGGGTGTGCACAACGTTAAGAAGGTATAGGGTGCTCAAGGAGCTTTCTGTGCTACGAAAACTTGCGGGCATCTGTTCCTCTACACATCGTGCCTCTGACAGGAGCTCTGGCTGCCAGAAAAAATATGCTAGGCCCTCCTTGGGGGGAGGCCTGTAAGGGTCATACAGGCCATCATGTCAATGAGCGTGGAGACCTAAGCCATCTATTACAAATAAAAGCATGGACCTGCCTTTTTACTGTCTCACTTGCACACATGAGCCACTCCAACGGAAGGTTAGGATCCTTGGAACAAGCAAAGGTATCACGACACAAACTTTTGGAAGCAGATTATATAAAAAGTAAATGTATGCCACATGGTGGAGCCTTTTTCATTGACTCATGTCAAAATGGGATGGCCTCCTTCTATTCTTTTGTCTATGTTGTTGGCACTCTGACGTATGATTCTGTATTTCTCTTGTTGCATGTTGCACTTACACTGCTTACACTGTTTGCCGAATTCTCATGGCAAATAAACCAGATGACTGTGTAGCACTCATCCTGTTGTGGTGTGTCTCTGTATCTGTCCTTTCTAGTGCTGTGATCTGTTCAGGTGACTCTAACCAGCTAGTCCAACAGCAGGTCTCGTTAGTCTTTGTTTCAGACTTGGCTGAAACAAGTGGCTCGCGGTGAGGCCTGAAGGCAAAGTCACCAAACCGTTGCAACTAAACCCGGTGACTGCCTCATTTGTAACCGAAAGACGAGATCCACAGAGAAGCACGAGAATGTGAAGCAATAGATAAAAACATATGCACATGAAATGAAACTAATATTTCTATGGTGACATGTAATCTACCAAATATATCACTCACCTGTGCATATGCCCACATTTCAGATGGTTTTAAATTTTACTATTTTCTGAAGCATATATACATATGCAGAAATTCACCCTAAGCAAGTTTTCAACTGCAAATTGCTTTCAGTTATATCATAGCGTTTAATAAGTAATTCCTCAGCACCTGCATGGCACATATAAGAATTATGTCTTGCACATAAGAGCCTTAAATGTTGGTGAGCCATGAAATTTGCTGCACTTTAACATTGGCTTGCAGTTTGCAACAAGTCACCCACGTCAACCACAGCTCAAGTGTTTAACTGCATCTGAAGTCAATGCGTTAAGACCCTCACTGGCTGGCTTGCTTTATTCCAGCAATTCCTAGCCATATGGCTGGCTGTCTACAAGGCTAGCTCAGAAATGCAATGATGTTTAGATAAGTTTAGATACCTTAAAGGAGACCGAAGTTAGTGTATGCCTACATTACCAATATTTATTCAACTTACGTGGAGAGGGCAAGGCCAGACGGTGCGATGACGCATCGTCATAGGTTGTGAAGACATCCTCAGGAGTTTCGGCCTCCGGGGCTGGAATTTCAACAAGCAAAGATGCCCTTGCATTAAATATATGTTTCTCTGCTTCAAAACAATTTTCCAAGACATTTGCAAATTAATACACACCTGAAAACTCCGACGTTTCAAGTGTTGATGTTTCTTCGGCTAGCCGAGATTTCTTGAGGGCCTTCTTGTAGGTTTCTAGTAAATGAATTCAAAGAACCTCACCAGAAATACTTTTAGAACACAATAAAGGCATGCCCTACAGAAAAGGCCTGTATTGTTAGCGATTAAGCAAATTAGCACATGTTTTCCCCAAGCTCATTCATAGAAATATTTGATTGTGAGAACTCTTGTTCCGCAGAACTAAAATCAAGCTTTTACAAATTTTCAGCTTATTCACAACAATGCAATGGAAGCTCATGCACTCATTTTGTAAATTTATATCTAGCTTTCTTGTTATAGTTATTCCACAAAAATTTAAGGCAAAGAATTACATTTTTGGAGGGGAAGAAAAAACTATGTACTATCTTGATCCGAGTTAGCGGGAACACGGGAGCGCATGGCATCGTACCCTATCAGAGCGCTCTACCGGTCAAGCGCGCAACTGCTGGGCATGCGTGTTACGCGGGCGGTGAGATTACCTCCTCATCGCGCGCATCATGTCATCGCGGCGCTCGTCTGTCGTCTGCTACGCGCGTAGTCTGCTATGTGTGTCGTCTGACACACGTGTCGCCCGCTACGCGCACGCTACTGGTGATAGCAAGAAATTCAGTCTATTC